TTTTATTTTTCAAGAGTGACATTATTATCTTTTTACACGGATGATCTACTTACTGATTTGTTTGTTGCTTATGTGTTTTTTTATCTTGTTATTTTCCATATACTGTATTGTAGAAGAAATTTTCTAAATAAACCAATTCATATTTTTTTTTTCTAAAAATAGACCCCCTTGAGTTTTATTTACAAAAATAGGCTTATTTTATTTTAACCTGGTTTTTAAATAATCAGGCCTGTCAACTCTGACTATTTAGAAAGTTGTAAACCTCTAGTTATAATCCTAAACCTTATTATTCTATGCACTAAATAGTCGGGGTTAGTAATCCGACGTCAACCCCGACTATTTAGAAACTGAATGACGACAAAATAAGTCTATTTTTGTAAATAAAACTTAAGGGGGTTTATTTTTTAGAATTTTTTTATGAATGATTTTGTTTAGAAAATTTCTTTTTGTATTGTATGAGTAGTATATATCTTGCTAGAGTACCGTAAATTATGGTGTTTTAGTTTTTTTGTTTTTGCATAATTTTGAATCATCATCAATATCCATGAATTGTCATGTGGCATGTTGCGAAATGTCTACTTGTGCCTTTTTTTGACGTTTTGTTTTACTGCTATTTTTGGGAGCTTTCTAGTTTTGCTATTTTAAATTTGTGAGCGTGGGTTCCTGAGAAATTATAATTGAATACACTTCCAGTTTATTAAAATGAATAATGTAGTATCTAGTAATAGTATCTGGGCTGTTATATTGTTCTTGCAATATTTTTTATTTGAATAGTAATATGTATGTATATAGTTAAATAGCCCATGTAATATCTTTTATTTGAATAAAAAATATATATTTATTCAAGTCTGATTTATGTTTGAGACATTCTAATACAAGAATGTAGAAATATAGAATGAGAAAAAAAGGAAAAAAAGGGGGGAGGAGAAAGAAAAAGATCATGTTCATGGGATAGGTTTGTGGCTTGCATGACTCAGGAGCTTCATTAACCTTTTCTTACCTTTCTTTGGATTGAAGGGAGCTCTACACATTAATCTTTCTAATTTTTTCTTCAATTTTTTTTACAGTTGTCATTTCTTAAATTTTAAGATGAGGCAGTAGCTAGTGGTTGTGCTGTTGCTTTCATTGTTGTTATTACTTGCTACTGCTGGCAATGGTATTGCTTTATTCCAGTCTGCTCACACCTCTGTGGTCTATATCTGGCCAACTACTTTATTTCTGTGGTGTTTTGTTAGATCTGCTATAGATCTTGAAATCTTGTGATGTAATGATGTATTTTCTATTTTTATTTTTCAAGAGTGACATTATTATCTTTTTACACGGATGATCTACTTACTGATTTGTTTGTTGCTTATGTGTTTTTTTATCTTGTTATTTTCCATATACTGTATTGTAGAAGAAATTTTCTAAATAAACCAATTCATATTTTTTTTTCTAAAAATAGACCCCCTTGAGTTTTATTTACAAAAATAGGCTTATTTTATTTTAACCTGGTTTTTAAATAATCGGGGCTGTCAACTCTGACTATTTAGAAAGTTGTAAACCTCTAGTTATAATCCTAAACCTTATTATTCTATGCACTAAATAGTCGGGGTTAGTAATCCGACGTCAACCCTGACTATTTAGAAACTGAATGATGACAAAATAAGTCTATTTTTGTAAATAAAACTTAAGGGGGTTTATTTTTTAGAATTTTTTTTATGAATGAGTTTGTTTAGAAAATTTCTTTTTGTATTGTATGAGTAGTATATATCTTGCTAGAGTACCATAAATTATGGTGTTTTAGTTTTTTTGTTTTTGAATAATTTTGAATCATCATCAATATCCATGAATTGTCATGTGTCATGTATGTGAAATGTCTACTTGTGCTTTTTTTGACGTTTTGTTTTACTGCTATTTTTGGGAGCCTTCTAGTTTTGCTATTTTAAATTTGTGAGCGTGGGTTCCTGAGAAATTATAATTGAATACACTTCCAGTTTATTAAAATGAATGATGTAGTATCTAGTAATAGTATATGGACTGTTATATTGTTCTAACAATATTTTTTATTTGAATAGTAATATGTATGTATATAGTTAAATAGCCCATGTAATATCTTTTATTTGAATAAAAAATATATATTTATTCAAGTCTGATTTATGTTTGAGACATTCTAATACAAGAATGTAGAAATATAGAATGAGAAAAAAGGAAAAATAATCTGCTTAAAGCCTGATTTCACCTTGTGGTTTGTTGATGGTTTTATATTAACTTCAAATCTTCTTGTCGCATATTAATTTTAAAGCTTTAGTTTTTATATTCCGGGGTATTCGTTTGTAACCTAATTTGTAGGGTAACAAAAAGAAAAAAGTGTTAGGGGGAGGAGGCCTAGAGTTTGTGACAATTGCTTAAATCTTGGGAGTCTCTCATTGCTGTCTCACTTTTGTGGCTCACAACATCATCCGATTAGTTCAGGGTGTGAGGGGAGCTGCCCTATCATCGTCACTATTTTTTATTGAGTGTGGAGAGCGATTTGCTAATTAGAAGGGTCCTGAGATCGTTTTTGTATTTGTTTTGAATTCTTTTTTCTGACGTATTTAAGCTGGTTGAATTTAGGGTTAGGATTTGTCATGGTGAGGAGTTATTTTTATTGTACTGATGAAATTTCTTCTATGATGAAATTTCTTCTTGAGAAGGAATGGTTGATATAGAATTGTTTATTCGAAATACTATAAAACCTCATGTTTTTAGTTAGTTGTTTCCGTGTTAGATGATATTGTTTATTATCATCTATAACAATCTTGTTTATCCCTTTGTATGTTCGCGTCTCAGATTTAACGGGCTACGTTAGACTCATATTGGTGGAAAGTTATAAACGTAGTTTTTTTCTCGGATTCAACTAATTACGTTGAGACGCATATTAGTGGAAAGCTATAAACGTAGTCTTTCTAAATTTTGGATTTTAATTTTTGAGTATGCTTCACTCTTTTTTGTATTTATGCATTGTCAAAAAAGTGAATTGTTCTTCAAAATTTTCTAGTATGTTTTCCGATAATCCAGTTTGAAATTGAATCTAATTGTATTTGTTACCCAAAAGTAAGAAGTGAAACTGCGATAGTACTTGTATTATTTTTAGGAGGATTATTGATTGGTGTAATTTTGGGGTAAGTGGTTTTAATTAGTTATCCGAAAGTAAGAAGTGGAACTGCGAAAGTGCCTCACTTGTATTATTTTTAGGGGTGGTGTTATTGGTTGGTGTAATTTTGGGGTAAGTGAGATAATTTTAGAGATTTTATTTTATGGTGTTATTTTTTGGAACAATTGGATTGGAGTTTTACTTAAATATGTTATTCATTGGAACAATGAGATTGATACAATTGTTCGAACTGGCAATTGTTGAGCTGAGAATTATTAATATGTGGAATGCAGTCAACATTGTCAGGCAATCATTTGCTGGTGATGAATATATGATGAAGCAGACGTATACCTTAGCACAATTGCTTATCCTTCTCGCAACTGCATTATCATGCTTGCACTATTAACTTTCTGATAAAATATTTTCATGCATCAACAAACCGGGACAACATTTTTTGGCTTCCATGTGTTTTCAGATACTTGACTATTGTTTCTTCGGTACTTCACAAGACAATGAGTTTTTCGCTTTTACGTCTCAATGACTAGGGGTATGTGCTATATGGGTTTGCTTGGATGTACTGACATTTACTTGGTTGTGAAGTATTGGAGTAGCAAGGGTATGTGCTATATGGGTTTGCTTGGATGTACTGACATTTACTTGGTTGTGAAGTATTGGAGTAGCAATGTTTACAAAAACCAGACTTGTGCTTGGATGTACTGACATTTACTTGGTTGTGAAGTATTGGAGTAGCAATGTTTACAAAAACCAGACTTCTTGAATTGCATTATATTTTCAAACCAGACTTTTGAAGAATTATGCGTTATATTTTCAAAGTGTAGATTATAATGTTTACAAAAACAAGGAAAATACTAAATACCCCTAAGACAACAACACATTTCTTCAAGTAATCAACTTGTTTAATTGCATGATCTATGTGGGTATTTGGCACAACCCCAAAAGTATTTACCCTTGTTCAAACCAATTTTGCACAACTTCAATGGTGTTGGTGTATTACAAAAGCAAGTTACCTCAGGAGATTTATTCTGAGATCTTTGGGATGTAGCCATGGCTCGGCTCAGCAAGCGAAGGAGGCACTTTGGGAATTTATTTGTAAAGGATACAGCAATTTGAGGAGGCTCATGTTGGAGTAGCAAATGACTTTGTTGCAATGGAGCATTCATTAGGCATCACTACTATATAGGAGCACCCCATAGTTACTGTGACTGATTAATAACTATTTTTTACTGTGTCGTTCTTTGAATTTCTTCTCGTTGGTAATATATTACTGTTGGGAGATTGGTGGTCATTTGGGAGCGGTAAGCTCACCACGGTGTTGTTATACAAGGTTTCTCAGTCTCTTTTTTGTGCATACTAAACATTGAAAGTTGAAGAAATGTATAAAGGGGAGATGAATTCTTGATTTCATAGTGTTGAAACAAACATGTGGAAAAAGAAAATTTGTTTTCAATCCATTGATTTCATGAAACAAATAAAAAAAATCAACTCTGAAAAACCCGAATGAAACGTCAAAAAATGGTTTCCTTCCTATATTCCGGATTTTCTTTTTTTTAAAAAAATTGTACCAAACAGACCCTTAGTCATAACTAACATTTTAGATTTATTATTTTTTTTTCTATTAAATGTGAAACTATATTCCAAGACTAAAAATCTTAATAGTTTTTTATTGCTTCCATGTGGGGCATCAAGCCATGTGGGTGTCAGAGGAGTCTATTCAAGCCTTCATCCTTTTAAAACTCCTCACGTTGCGTGCCATAAAAAAAATAAGCAATTACCAAATTTCAAAAAGAAAATATAAAATATGTAAGAAAAAGGAATAAGAGGTCCCTTGCCTAACCCCACTCTCTTCTATTTAATAACAACTTCCCCTTATAACTCTTCACTACTTCCTGTTGTATGTGTTGTTCTCCTTGGGGGTGGAAGATTTAATTGCTAATCGCCCACTTTTTCCTCCCCACTTTTTCTGAGGACCTCTCCTCTCCTCTCTCCGGAACCGGCTAAAATGTAGCCGTTCGGATACCGCCTCTCCGCTTCGCCCAAAATTAACCAGAGACCCCGAAGTAGGATTTCTTTTATCCTGGGGGGCCCCTTCCGCTCCCTCTATAGTTCTCCTTCTCAGATTTTTGGTATCATATTCTTTTAGGATGGAAAATTTGTTCTGTTTTTAAAGATTTCGAGTTTTTTTCTTCATAAAATTGTAGGTTTTAAGAGTGGAGCTCCTTGAAGTCCAAATATGGGTATTGGAGGGGTGGATCGAGCTGCTTTGTCATGGATTCCACTGCCCTATTCCTATATGTTATTTTCATCTTGAGAGAAAAAAAAAGGAGGGGGGGAGAAAGAAAAAGATCATGTTCATGGGATAGGTTTGTGGCTTGCATGACTCAGGAGCTTCATTAACCTCTTCTTACCCTTCTTTGGATTGAAGGGAGCTCTACACGTTAATCTTTCTAATTTTTTCTTTAATTTTTTTTTACAGTTGTCATTTCTTAAATTTTAAGATGAGGTAGTAGCTAGTGGTTGTGCTGTTGCTTTCATTGTTGTTATTACTTGCTACTGCTGGCAATGGTATTGCTTTATTCCAGTCTGCTCACACCTCTGCGGTCTATATCTGGCCAACTACTTTATTTCTGTGGTGTTTTGTTAGATCTGCTATAGATCTTGAAATCTTGTGATGTAATGATGCACTTTCTATTTTTATTTTTTAAGAGTGACGTTATTATCTTTTTACACGGATGATCTCCTTGCTGATTTGTTTGTTGCTTATGTGTTTTTTTATCTTGTTATTTTCCATATATTGTATTGTAGAAGAAATTTTCTAAATAAACCTATTCATATTTTTTTTTCTCTAAAAATAGACCTCTTTTGAGTTTTATTTACAAAAATAGACCTATTTTATTTTTGTAAATAAAATTCAAGGGGGTTTATTTTTTAGAATTTTTTTTTATGAATGAGTTTGTTTAGAAAATTTCTTCTTGTATTGTATGAGTAGTATATATCTTGCTAGAGTACCGTAGATTATGGTGTTTTAGTTTTTTTTTGTTTTTGCATAATTTTGAATCATCATCAATATCCATGAATTGTCATGTGTCATGTATGTGAAATGTCTACTTGTGCTTTTTTTGACGTTTTGTTTTACTGCTATTTTTGGGAGCCTTCTAGTTTTGCTATTTTAAATTTGTGAGCGTGGGTTCCTGAGAAATTATAATTGAATACACTTCCAGTTTATTAAAATGAATGATGTAGTATCTAGTAATAGTATATGGACTGTTATATTGTTCTAACAATATTTTTTATTTGAATAGTAATATGTATGTATATAGTTAAATAGCTATACTTCCAATTGCGTAAAATCAGTAATATATCACTCATTTACCACTTATTTTCTTGCATCTTTGAGTGCTATCGGTTCATAATCATTTTAATGGTTTCTAATTTCTGAATATGCTCTTATTTTTTGTGTATATGCTTTGTATAAAAAGTTTTGAATTGTCCTTTCTTAAAAATTCTCTAATTTTTTTAGTTAATCAGGTATCGAGTCTAAGACCCATGAATTGTCATTTTGCATGTAAGCGAGACCTTCACTAGTGCATCTTTTGTTTGAGATTTTGTTCAAAGTGCTTTTTTGTTACTAATTAATGTGGTCCGGCTGTTATTAGCTTGTGATATGACATATACGGCAAATTTATATTCCGCAGGGCTTCTTGTGAAAAAAAATTGTTCTTGAGAATGATGTTATTAAATGTTTGTTATTTGGCATAGAGTTTGTATGTTTGTTTAGATTACTGTCATAAGATAATTTTTGGTGCAGGTTACGTTTGAAAGATAAGTTACGTTCGAAGGGATGAGGAAGTTTTGATATTTTGTATGTTTTGCTGAGGCAAAAATTAATATGAAAGTGTGTGAGTAGCTTATTTTTCTTCTTATTTTTGTGGAGCCTTCTAGATTTGCTATTTTAAATTTGTGAGCGTGGGTTCCTGAGAAATTATAATTGAATACACTTCCAGTTTATTAAAATGAATGATGTAGTTGTATCTAGTAATATTATCTGGACTGTTATATTGTTCTTACAATATTTTTTATTTGAATAGTAATATGTGTGTATATATTTAAATCTTCCATGTAATATCTTTTATTTGAATAAAAAAAATATATTTATTCTAGTCTGATTTATGTTTGAGACATTCCACTACAAGAATGTAGAAATATAGAATGAGAAAAAAAGGAATAAAAAATCTGCTTAAAGCCTGATTTCAACTTGTGGTTTGTTGATGGTTTTATATTATAACTTCTTGTCGCATATTAATTTTAAAGAGTTTATATTTTGGGGTATTCGTTTGTAACCTAATTTGTAGGGTAACAAAAAGGAAAAAGTGTTAGGGGGAGGAGGCCTAGAGTTTGTGACAATTGCTTAGGGAAATTTTTTTCAATCTTGGGTGAGTCTCTCATTGATGTCTCACTTTCGTGGCTCACAACAACATCCGATTAGTTCAGGGTGAGGGGAGCTGCCCTATCGTCGTCACTATTTTTTATTGAGTGTGGAGAGCGATTTGCTAATTAGAAGGGTCGTGAGATCGTTTTTGTACTTGTTTTGAATTCTTTTTCTGGCGTATTTAAGCTGGTTGAATTGAGGGTTAGGATTTGTCATGGTGAGGAGTTAATTTTATTGTAGTGATGAAATTTCTTCTTGAGAAGGAATGGTTAATGTGGAATTGTTTATTCGAAATACTATAAAACCTCGTGTGTTTTTAGTTAGTTGTTTCCGTGTTAGATGATATTGTCTATTACCATCTTTAGCAATCCTGTTTATTATCCCTTTGTATGTTTGCGTCTCAGATTCAACGGACTACATTAAGACTCATATTGGTGGAAAGCTATAAACGTAGCCTTTGTCTCGGATTCAACGAACTATATTAAGGCTCATATTGGTGGAAAGCTATAAACGTAGCCTTTCTGAATTTTGGATTTTAATTTTTGAATATGCTTCACTCTTTTTCGTATTTATGCCTTGTCAAAAGAGTGAATTGTTCTTCAAAATTTTCTAGTATGTTTTCTGATAATCCAGTTTGAAATTGAATCTAATTGTATTTGTTACCCAAAAGTAAGAAGTGAAAGTGCGAAAGTAACTCACTTGTATTGTTTTTAGGAGGGTTATTGGTTGGTGTAATTTTGGGGTAAGTGGTTTCAATTAGTTATCCGAAAGTAAGAAGTGAAACTGCGAAAGTGCCTCACTTGTATTATTTTTAGGGGTGGTGTTAGTGGTTGGTGTAATTTTGGGGTAAGTGAGATAATTTTAGAGATTTTACTTTATGGTGTTATTTATTGGAACAATTGGATTGGAGTTTTACTTAATTATGTTATTCATTGGAACAATAAGATTGTGACAATTGTCCGAACTGGCAAATTGTCGAGCTGAGAATTATTAATATGTGGAATGCAGTCAACATTGTCAAGCAATTATTTGCTGGTGATGAATATATGATGAAGCAGATGTATACCTGAGCACAATTGCTTATCCTTCTCGCAACTGCATTATCATGCTTGCGCTACTAACTTTTTGATAAAATATTTTTATGCATCAACAAACTGGGACAATATTTTTTGGCTTCCATGTGTTTTCAGATACTTGGTTATTGTTTCTTTGGTACTTCACAAGACATTGAGTTTTTCGCTTTTACGTCTCAATGACTGAGGGTATGTGCTATATGGGTTTGCTTGGATGTACTGACATTTACTTGGTTGTGAAGTATTGGAGTAGCAATGTTTACAAAAACCAGACTTGTTGAATTGCATTATATTTTCAAACCAGACTTTTGAAGAATTATGCATTATATTTTCAAAGTGTAGATTATAATGTTTACAAAAACAAGGAAAATACTAAATACCCCTAAGGCAACAACACATTTCTTCAAGTAATCAACTTGTTGAATTGCATGCTTCAATTCTTTTCGCAAATGCTTTGTTTCCAGCTCTTTTAATTCTGAAACTGATTGAAGAGAGGCTTCATCTTTTTTGGCTTCACCCTTTTTGATTTTCATGCTCATGTTCGGCACACCTAAAGAATTTGCATGATCTATGTGGGTATTTGGCACAACCCCAAAAGTATTTGTCCTTGTTCGAACCAATTTTGCACAGCTTCAATGGTGTTGGTATATTACAAAAGCAAGTTACCTCAGGAGATTTATTCTGAGATCTTTGGGATGCAGCCATGGCTCGGCTTAGCAAGCGAAGAAGGCCCTTTGGGAATTTATTTGTAAAAGATGCAGCAATTTGAGGAGGCTTAGGTTGGAGTAGCAAATGACTTTGTTGCAATGAAGCATTCATTAGGCATCACTACTATATAGGAGCACCCATGGTTACTGTGACTGATTAATAACTATTTTTTACTGTGTCGTTCTTTGAATTTCTTCCCGTTGGTAATATATTACCGTTGGGAGATTGGTGGCCCTTTGGGAGCGGTAAGCTCACCACGGTGTTGTTATACAAGGTTTCTCAGTCTCTCTTTTGTGCATACCATTATTCTCAGTTTATTTCCTTTTATCTATTTTTATATTAATTAAGAGGTAAAAATAAATATTTAAATTTTTTTTAAAAAAATAAACAGTAACGAGACGGATGAACAGTACAACACCATATTTGGTGTAGCACTGTTCAACTACATCAAAATGACGCAGAAAATAGGGCTGGGTTGGAAAATGAACAGTGCAACAAAAAGCACTGTTTGCACTATTTTGGTGCTGGGTTGGAGATGCCCTCAGGAGCTTCATTAACCTTTTTTTACCCTTCTTTGGATTGAAGGGAGCTCTACACATTAATCTTTCTAATTTTTTCTTTAAATTTTTTTTTTACAGTTGTTATTTCTTAAATTTTAAGATGAGGTAGTAGCTAGTGGTTGTGCTGTTGCTTTCATTGTTGTTATTACTTGCTACTGCTGGCATTGGTATTGCTTTATTCCAGTCTGCTCACACCTCTGTGGTCTATATCTGGCAAGTACTTTATTTCTTTGGTGTTTGTTAGATCTGCTATAGATCTTGAAATCTTGTGATGTAATGATGTATTTTCTATTTTTATTTTTCAAGAGTGACATTATTATCTTTTTACACGGATGATCTACTTGCTGATTTGTTTGTTGCTTACGTGTTTTTTTATCTTGTTATTTTCCATATACTGTATTGTAGAAGAAATTTTCTAAATAAACCTATTCATATTTTTTTCCTAAAAATAGTCCCCCTTGAGTTTTATTTACAAAAATAGACCTATTTTATTTTAACCCGGTTTTTAAATAATCGGGGTTGCCAACGCTGACTATTTAGGAGGTTGTAAACCCCTAGTTATAACATTAAACCCTAATATTCTATGCACTAAATAGTCACAATCCCGATGCTAACCCCGACTATTTAGAAACATGATTAAGACAAAATGGATTTTGTAAATAGAACTCTAGGGGGGTCTAGTTTTAGAAAAAAATTTATGAATGAGTTTGTTTAGAAATTTTTTTGTTGTATTGTATGTGTGTAGTATATATCTTGTTAGAGTACCGTAAAATTATGGTGTTTTAGTTTTTTTGTTTTTGCATAATTTTGAATCATCATCAATATCCATGAATTGTCGTGTGGCATGTATGCGAAATGCCTACTTGTGCTTTTTTTGACATTTTGTTTTACTGCTATTTTTTGCTAATTAATGTGGTTTGACAGTTATTTGCTCGCGATGTTATCAAGCAAATATAC